AAATGTGGCCTTCACGGAATGGTTACAGCACAGAAAGAGGCCATTCAGCCCATCGGACCAGCACATGTTCTCCGAAAGAGCTGTTCATCTAGTACTGTCACCTCTCTCTCTCCCCATAATCTTGCATATTTGACCCTGCCTCTCCAACGCTCCCAGTCTGCACCAATTCCAGATCTTAACCCACTTGTAGCTTGGAATCTCCTCATCTCAGGATGGCTTCTCGAATCTGTACCCTTTCATTCTCAATCCTGCCACCAATGGGGGCAGCTTTCCCCACTCCGTGCTCTGCCTAACATAACAAAAATGAGGCTATAGAATGGAAAGATCCCAGTCAGCATGGATTAAAACAAACGCACTCAAGGACACACAAGAGTGTAAACTGTTGTTTCTCAGACTGGAGGTTGAGAGCAATGAAGTCACCCCACCCTCCTAAAGGTCAGTATCAGAGCCACTGCTGGTTTGAATAAAACTGAGTCATTTGGATAGTGGATCGCAATTGGAATAAATTTCAAAAGTCGCTGATGATTAAAGTTGGAGCTGTGGGAGGACGCTGCAGACGATAGAGAATCTAAGACCTGCATTTATCTAGCACTTTCTACAGCCGTTGGGACAGGGTGTCAAGTGTTTTGAAATCAGTGTAGGAGACGTGGCAGCCAATGTGCACTTGGCCAACTCCCCCAGGCAGCAGAGAGTAGATACTCTGTTTCTGTGATTGAGCAAGTAGGTCTGACTTAGTTCGATGGAGTTTAAAAACAGGAGGAATATAGAGAGGTGGGGACATGGTGGGGGAGGGAGGGTCATTGAGGGCTATCGATGAACAGACAGTAGGCAACAATCTGTAGCAACATAGGAATGTACCATCATAGAACATAGAACATAGAACATTACAGCGCAGTACAGGCCCTTAGGCCCTCGATGTTGCGCCGACCTGTGAAACCAATCTGAAGCCCATCTAACCTACACTATTCCATTATCATCCATATGTTTATCCAATGACCATTTAAATGCCCTTAAAGTTGGCGCGTCTACTACTTTTGCAGGCAGGGCATTCCACGCCCTTACTTCTCTCTGAGTAAAGAACCTACCTCTGACATCTGTCCTATATCTATCACCCCTCAATTTAAGCTATGTCCCCTCGTGCTAGCCATCACCATCCGAGGAAAAAGGCTTCCACTGTCCACCCTATCTAATCCTCTGATCATCTTATATGTCTCCATTAAGTCACCTCTTAACCTTCTTCTCTCTAACGAAAACAGCCTCAAGACCCTCAGCCTTTCCTCATAAGACCTTCCCTCCATACCAGGCAACATCCTGGTAAATCTCCTCTGCACCCTTTCCAATGCTTCCATATCCTTCCTATAATGCGGTGACCAGAACTGTACGCAATACTCCAAGTGTGGCCGCACCAGAGTTTTGTACAGCTGCAACATGACCTCATGGCTCCGAAACTCAATCCCTCTACCAATAAAACCTAACATACCGTACGCCTTCTTAACAACGCTATCAACCTGGGTGGCAACTTTCAGTGATCTATGCACATGGACACCGAGATCTCTCTGCTCATCCACACTACCAAAAATCTTACCATTAGCCCAGTACTCTGTATTCCTGTTACTCCTTCCAAACTGAATCACCTTTCCCGCATTAAACTCCATTTGCCACCTCTGAGCCCAGCTCTGCAGCTTATCTATGTCCCTCTGTAACCCGCAACATCCTTCCGCACTATCCACAACTCCACCGACTTTGGTGTCATCCGCAAATTTACTAACCCATCCTTCTACGCCCTCATCCAGGTCATTTATAAAAATGACAAACAGCAGTGGCCCCAAAACAGATCCTTGAGGTACACCACTAGTAACTGAACTCCAGGATGAACATTTCCCATCAACCACCACCCTCTGTCTTCTTACAGCTAGCCAATTTCTGATCCAAACCACTAAATCACCCTCAATCCCATGCCTCCGTATTTTCTGCAATAGCCTACCATGGGGAACCTAATCAAACGCTTTACTGAAATCCATATACACCACATCAACCGCTTTACCCTCATCCACCTGTTTGGTCACCTTCTCGAAGAACTCTAAGGTTTGTGAGGCACGACCTACCCTTCACAAAACCGTGTTGACTATCCCTAATCAAATTATTCCTTTCTAGATGATTATAAATCCTATCTCTTATAATCCTTTCCAACACTTTACCCACAACCGAAGTAAGGCTCACTGGTCTATAATTACCAGGGTTGTCTCTACTCCCCTTCTTGAACAAGGGGACAACATTTGCTAGTCTCCAGTCTTCTGGCACTATTCCTGTAGACAATGACGACATAAAGATCAAAGCCAAAGGCTCTGCAGTCTCCTCTCTAGCTTCCCAGAGAATCCTAGGATAAATTCCATGCGGCCCAGGGGACTTATCTATTTTCACACCTTCCAGAATTGCTAACACCTCCTCCTTATGAACCTCAATCCCGTCTCGTCTAATAGCCTGTATCTCAGTATTGTCCTCGACAACATTGTCTTTTTCCTGTGTGAATACTGACAAAAAATATTCATTTAGCGCCTCTCCTATCTCTTCGGACTCCACACACAACTTCCCACTACTGTCCTTGACCGGCCCTAATCTTACTCTAGTCATTCTTTTATTCCTGACATACCTATAGAAAGCTTTAGGGTTTTCCTTGATCCTACCTGCTAAAGACTTCTCATGTCCCCTCCTGGCTCTTCTTAGCTCTCTCTTTAGGTCCTTCCTGGCCAACTTGTAACTCTCAAACGCCCTAACTGAGCCTTCACGCCTCATCTCTACATAAGCCTCCTCCTTCCTCTTGACAAGAGATTCAACTTCTTTAATAAACCACGGTTCCCTCGCTCGACCACTTCCTCCCTGCCTGACAGGTACATACTTCTCAAGGACACGCAGTAGCTGTTCCTTGAACAAGCTCCACATTTCAATTGTGCCCAGCCCCTGCAGTTTCCTTCTCCATCCTATGCATCCTAAATCTTGCCTCATCGCCTCATAATTGCCTTTCCCCCAGCTATAACTCTTGCCCTGCGGTATATACCTATCCCTTTCCATCGCTAAAGTAAACGTAACCGAATTGTGGTCACTATCACCAAAGTGCTCACCTACCTCCAAATCTCTAACACCTGGCCTGGTTCATTACCCAGTACCAAATCCAATGTGGCCTCGCCTCTTGTTGGCCTATCTACATACTGTGTCAGGAAACCCTCCTGCACACATTGGACAAAAACTGACCCATCTAAAGTACTCGAACTATAGCGTTTCCAGTCAATATTTGGAAAGTTAAAGTCCCCCATAACAACTACCCTGTTACTTTCGCTTGTATCCAGAATCACCTTTGCAATCTTTTCCTCTACATCTCTGGAACTTTTCGGAGGCCTATAGAAAACTCCCAACAGAGTGACCTCTCCTTTCCTGTTTCTAACCTCAGCCCACACTACCTCAGTAGACAAGTCCTCATCAAACGTCCTTTCTGCCACCGTAATACTGTCCTTTACTAACAATGCCACACCTCCCCCTCTTTTACCACCTTCCCTGATCTTACTGAAACATCTAAACCCCGGAAACTGCAACAACCATTCCTGTCCCTGCTCTATCCATGTCTCCGAAATGGCCACAACATCGAAGTCCCAGGTACCAACCCATGCTGCAAGTTCACCCACCTTATTCCGGATGCTCCTGGCATTGAAGTAGACACACTTCAAACCACCTTCCTGCCTGCCGGTACACTCCTGCGACCTTGAAACCTTATTTATGACCTCACTACTCTCAACCTCCTGTACACTGGAGCTACAATTCAGCTTCCCATCCCCCTGCTGAATTAGTTTAAACCCTCCCGGAGAGCATTAGCAAATTTCCCCCCCAGGATATTGGTACCCCTCTGGTTCAGGTGTAGACCATCCCGTTTGTAGGAGGAATAGTAGGCCACTCAGCCCTGCTAGCCGTAAGATTTTCACCTCAAGTCCACATTCCCACCTGGAGCCCCACCCCCCCAAACCGATGAAACCTTTCATCGCCTTGTTTAACAAGAACCTGCCCTAAGAATATTCAAGGAGTCTGCTTCCACCAGTTTTTGTGGAAGAAAGCCTCAAAAACTCTGAGAAAGAAATTCTCCTCTCTGTTTTAAACAGCGACCCCATGGTCCTAGATTCTCTCAGAAGAGCAAAGCATTCTCCCCACGCCTACCCTGTCAAGACCTCTCAGGGTTTTTGTACACTTCGGTGCTGCTGCTCCTCATGTATATAGATTGGTTCCTCCTTTTATCATCTCTCAATCTAAATGTGTATCATGCCCCAACACCTCAAACATGTCTCTTGCTGCCAATATCCTGTCGCCCCTACACCTATACCTTGCCTTTGCAACTCCTGTTGCCTCTAGCTGTCTCCCCCTGCACTGCTTTTATAAAATTAAAGTTGGAGGGTGGGAAAGGATGATGGAGGGGTTAGAATAACCCCTTTCTGATGCAGAGCAGAGAGCAGTGGACGGCCAGGCTGGGAGCGAGTAAACTGGGACTGCCCTGTCTCCCAGTTGCAATGCTTCGGCTTTTGGTCATTGCCCATTGGGAAGGAGGAAGGAGAGCTGGGTGATAAGTTGTGGTCTGTAGGTGGGGAAAGGGATGGAAGAGGGACAGAGTCCTGCTGGAAAGTGGGCCAGAAAAAGGAGCAGTATCTCTGCCCAGGGCTGGGTATCACCATCATAGGCTGGCAACTAATGGGCAGGGCCCAGGCTACTGGGGGTTGAAGTTGAGAACAGGAGGAGGATCAACTAATGGCACATTCAAGGGGAAGGATTGGCTAATTACAACTGAGGTCAGCGGGGGAGCCAGCCAATTAGACGCGTAGGTCAATTTGACTTAAAGCTGGTCACTCTGTACTTGGTAGAAAGGGGAAAGATCAAGAGGAAAGCTGCCTCTGAGTCCGATAGCCCTCCCGGTCTTGTTTGTGTGACCTTCGACCTTCCCTGACCTTCTGATGTCTCTCCTCAAGGTGCAAGAAGGCCATTTTGTCAAGGAGAACTTCCACGAGCTTTGCTGGACTTTAACGGCCAAGAAAAACTACAAACCCTCGAGAGGCCAGGGCCTGATCTCGGAGTCAAGCGCCTTCAAACTCTGGTGCCTCTTTAACTTTTTATCGGAAGACAAGTACCCCCTGGTGATGGTACATGAGGAGGTGAGACTCTGCCCCTTGGGACCTGGGCGAGGGCTCAGTTACAGGGTCGTGAGGGGCTTGAGGGGTTGGGAAGTAGTTTTGAGCTTTGTTGAAGGTGGATATAAGCACTACACACGCTAAGTCCCGAGGCAACAATAACCTGCATTTGTGCGGCACTGTTAGCATTGAAAAACAACACTTTCTGGGAATGCAATTGGACAAAATATTTAGGTCAGCCTGGGGAGGAGATATTACAGCAGATCACTTGATGCTTGCTTGAAGGCGATGGTTTGAAGGATCTTTGAGCGGATTAGGGAGGGAATTTCGGAGCTTGACCTGAGGATGCGATTAAAACTGGGAACGTTACAGAATTGCGGGTTCTTGTGGACCGTGGAGGCTCAGAGAGTCGGAAACTGTCACATGGATAGGGAAGGGCCAGGGTATGGGGCAAAGGAGTGTTTTTGTGGGGGGGCAGTGTTAGAATTTGATCCCCCTTTGACAGAAAATCAGGGTTTATTTGGGGTAAAAGTTAACGCATAAGTGCATAAGAAGCCACTGGGTGATGACATCACCCTGAGGTGAGTGGGGGAATGACGTGTCAGGAGAGAGTAGGATTTTGATGTCAGGCGTTCAGAGCGATTTACAGATCTGATATGATCCTGCTGGATGAATCTGGGGCCTGAGCATTGACTGTTAATCTAGAGACAATCAGACTTTAAGCATAGGCCCCAAAATTCCTGTTAGAAGCAAATTTGTGCTTTCCCCCATGCTCCCATCTCAAGTGGATTGCATTTAAAATGAGGCCCTGTGTTGTTGTACATGCACTAGGAGCAGCTGTAGGCCATTCGGTCCCTGAAGTCTGTTCCATCACTCGTTAAGAACGTGTGACTGAGCCGATTGTGGTCATTTCCATAACCTTTGACTCCTCATTAGTCAAGAATCTATGCAGCACACTCCTAACAATATTCATTGACCCCTGGCCCCCAACTCTGCTGGTGTCTGGGGAAGTGTGTTCCAAAGACACATGACCCTCAGAGAGAAAAGATTTCTCCTCCTCTATCTTAGCAGCGAGAGCCAGTTGTTTACATCCTCTGGTGCTGACGTCGTACTGAAACAATGTCAAGATGAGCAGGAAAACCCCAGAAACAGGCAACTGCTTGTGAAAACGCAGCCTCAGTTTTAGCGTTAACAAAGTAGTAATTTTAACATCATTATTCATTTTTGCTGTCGCCCCACGTAGTTAACTTTCTCCGTCTGACTCCCCACGTTCAAAACCACCCTGCCCCACTCTCCCATTGCCTTGTCTTCATTCTACATTTTGGTGGGTCTCGATAGCCTGTTTCTGGGGTTGTAGGCACTGCATAATTTGATTAAAATTTAGATCAATTATGAAGTCTGCGATCTGGTGACACCACAAACCACACTGCAGCTTCTTGTTATTGATTGAGATTGTCATAAATCCCTTTTTATCAAACAGTTTTAATAGGGTAGTTGTGTGTGTGCGCGCGCGCGCGTTTTTTTCCCTGTCTCTTGCTCTGTGTCTCTGTCTCTCTCTTGGTCTCTCTCAGTTCCTAGTCAAGCAACAAGTTGGTTTCAATACACTCCTTGTTATCAAATCACTTCCTGGCATCCTCCCATCTCTCTGTGTAATCTCCTCCAGTCCCACCATCTCTGAGATATCTATGCTCCTGGTCTCTTGCACCTGTGTGTGAATTTAACCACTCCTCCATTGATGGCCCAGTTACCTCGACTCTGAGCCCTGGAACTCTCTACCTTCCTACCTCACTTTCCTCCTCTGAGGCACTGTTTAAAATCTGTCTCTTGCTCAGCTGATCTGTTGCTTTGTGTCTCATCCTCCTTTCTATCATTTCTGTATAATGTCTTGTACATCAGTGACGTTCTGTAAAAATACAGATTGTGGCTGTTGTTCCTCTTTTCACATTCAAGTACCAGAACAAGAACATGCACAAAAACACTGCTTCAAACACTGACATTGTCGAAAATCAGTGGGAAATAGGGCAGTGTGGGAGGGACCCAGTCGGAGTTGGGGAGGTGCTGAAGAGGTGTGGGGGGAGGGGGCCACCTTGGAGGTGTGGGGGGAGGGGGCCGCCTAGGAGGTGTGGGGGGAGGGGGCTCCCAGGAGGCGTGGGGGGGAGTGGTCTAGGTGGTGGGTGTGGTCTAGGCAGATTGGGGAAGTGGTCCAGGAGGTGTAGAGGGAGGGGCCCAGGAGGAATAGGGAGAGGGGACCCAGGCGGAATCGGGTTGAAGGGCCCAGGAGGTGTGGGGGTGGGGTCCCATGTGGAGTAAGGGTAGGAGCCCGGGACAATTTGAGGCAGGCACCCACAATCAGTGGGGGAGCCACAAGGGGGAAGGATTCAGGAGGTGGGTCAAGGGGGAGAGGTGGGGGACAGGTAGGGGTAAAGGAAGGGAGGGAGGGAGTCGTGGAGGTTAAAGGGTGATGGGAGGGTAGGTTGTCACTGAAATACATCCATGTTGAGGCTGCAGATGTTATTTAAAATCAAATACATAATTTTATTCCACAAAAAGAAACAAATATAGAAGACATTGAGAAAGATATTGAGGTAAATGTCAAAGTTTCCAACACAATCCGTTACAGACACTCATTCCGAAGCAATTCGCTCAGATTTGAAATCTTTACTTAGCTGATACTGTCCAGTTTCTGTTTCGTGATCTGTGGAGACAATTTTATAAATCCAGTAGCATGAACCTCTTGGAATTTTGATTGCCTAAATGCTCTCCCATTGGCAGCTTGAAGATTTCTATCCAAACTGTCCTGGCTTTAAATCTTCACAGTCTAGAAACCACTTCTACTAAAGAGCTGTACTCTTCTTCCTTCTAACCTAAATTGTTAGGACGTGACAAATTTGTACCAAAGTCATTTCCTTTTACTCTGCATGTCATTAAGTCACCAGCACAAACATTATACCCATTAACATTATAATGGTTCTCCTAAGCACTTGATTGCAGTCACACGCTTATCTTAGTAATTATGTATTTAGGTCACTGTCCTGTGTGATTTTCTAACCTCTTAAAATAAAACTTTACAGAATTGGCCTTCTACCTCTAATGTAAAATCCCACTTCCCACAAATGGTGAATATATCTTTATAATCACAGTGGCCTTGTGTTAGTTGCCCAGGTGGTCAGATGGATTAATGGCTGACAGCCTGTTTGCTAAAGATGTTTCAGAGCGACCAGTTGTTGTTAGCTCTGACTTTTGGCCTGAGCTGCTGTCTTCAGGAGAGTGAGCTGAGAGTCAATGTCAGGGCAGCCAACTATAGGACCTTACCTAGTGGAGCTGGGTGGCATGGTGACTCAGTGGGCAGTGCTGGTGCCTCATAGCACCAGGGACCCAGGTTTGATTCCAGCCTCGGGTGACTGTGTGTGGAATTTGCACATTCTCCCCATGTCTGCGTGGGTTTCCTCCAGGTGCTTCAGTTTCCTCCCATAGTCCAAAGATGTGCAGACTCAGGTGGATTGCTAAATGCAGGGTTATAGGGTAGTGGGGATGGGTCTCGGTGGGATTCTGAGATCTGGCGTTTTTATTTCATTTGCTGAGATTGGCCACGATCGCTGGGGAGGCTCCTGATTCAGCTTAAAGAGGCAGATGGGCCCTTGGTTTTAACCCTTTAGCTTAGCGTTTATTGCCCTTCCCTGAAGGACATTGGTGAATCAGATGGGTTTTTCCGACAATGTTTATCATTAGACTCTTAATTCCAGGTTTTTATTGAATGGAAATTCATCCACCATGGCGGGATTCGAAACTGGGTCCCCGGAACCCTTAACTGAGTCCCTGGGATGACTGACCAGGAATAACGCCACTAGGCCCTTGCCTCCCCTTAGGTCAGACCTGGTAGGAAAGGCACCCATCCCATCCCTCACTGGATACAGCTCTCACCTCTGAGTTAGGTTACGTCCCACTGCAGTCTCTTCAAATCATCTCACGTTTTTCCCCCTCCCCAGTGTTTTTAAAGTCAGTTTCTAGCTCGGTTTTTGCTGGCACGTGGTTATTGGTGGTTTTGAGATCCCCACCTCTGTGCTGCTAGTTTTTCAGAACAGCCATATCATTGCTCACCATCGGAAAATATAAATAGATCTGAGATCTCTGATTATCAATTCCTGCTCATCTTCAGTTCTCTCTCTCTCTGTCTGTGTTAAGGCAGTCGTATTGAGCCATCTGTTTGAGCAAAGTTCATTGTCTTTCCTCTCCTTAGCCCATGGGCTGTGGTTGGTGGTTTACCACACACTTCGCAGCTTGGCCCAGTTACTCTCGAGCCTTGGTACTCAATGAGATATTTTATTTTTGTGCCCACACTTCCTGTCAAGATAGTCAACAGGCACCATCTTACCTCAGTACGAAGGAGATGGAGAGATGACCTTTTAGGGGAAGCAAGGAGGGGTTGCTCGTTTGGACATTGTGAATTCTATCCGTGGTCTGTGAGGGGAATTTCCACACATTGCACGTGGATTGGAACATAAGGACTGACTGACTGATTCTAAATACTGGCTGTCAGCATTCAGTGCGGCCAGAGCAATTGTTACAACTCTATACAGCCACCTACCTTAGCTCTTCAGAAGATGGTCTTGACCCTGCAGGGGGAGCCAATAGGAAACAGCTTTAGTGTAATAGGGCGGCACTCAGTGGTTAGCACTGCTGTCTCACAGTGCCAGGGACCCAGGCTCCATTCCATCCTCAGGCAACTGTCTGCGTGGAGTTTGCACATTCTCCCCATGTCTGCATGGGTTTCAGCCGGGTGCTCCGGTTTCCTCCCACAGTCCAAAGATGGGCAGGTTATATTGATTGGCTGTGGTAAATTGTCCTGTAGTGTTCAGGGATCTGTGGGCTAGGTGGGTTAGCCATGGGAAATGTGGAGTTACAGGGATAAGATGTGATGCTGTTCGGAGCAGACTCAATGTGCCAAATGGCCTCTTTCCCCACTGTAGGAATTCTGTGATTCTATATCGGGATCATATAAACTGGGAGGCAAGGGTCAAAAAAATTTATTTTTCAAGATAGTGCTTGTTTTTTGGGCCTATATTTTGGCTTTTGGGGCTCCTTTATTGTTCTCATCAATTTCTTTATGAAGTGATGTACTCATGTTGTAACAATACATTTGTATTGACACACTGTTATTTGGACTCTTTCCCCCCACTGCACCGCCACCCCACCCACCCCCCCCACCACCACCACCACCACCACCAAAGCAGAATTAGAAGAATTCATTAATAACCTTGTTCCATTAAAACCACAACAAATGGGGAAAAGATTTGTTTCGGAGACCCACAGTACACACTAGGAGTCAATGAGAAGTGGATTTTACATTGGGATTATCTGTCAGATACATTAGGGACATTTAAGCGACTCTTAGATAGACGCATGGATGATAGTAAAATGAAGGGTGTGCAGGTTAGTTTTGATCTTAGAGGAGGATAATGGGTCGGCACAACATCATGGGCCGAAGGGCCTGTATTGTGCTGTACTGTTCTATGTTCTATATACACTGGGTGTCAACAAGTAGTGGATTTTACATTGGGATTATATACACTGGGAGTCAATGAGAGGGTGCTTACTGTACTGGGATCATAACTTGAAAATTTCTTTTTCTTTCAAACTTCTTTCTTTCTCACTCTTAATTCACAGTGCAGTCTTTGTTTGTTTGAACTGAATTTATTAGTAGCTGAAGACCCAGCTTCACTCCGTGGCTGCAGTCATGGCACCAGTGGCCAGTGCCAAGTGGTCCTGAGTAGGCTAGAGATGCCCATAGAACCTTAGCAGGTGTTGGCCCTGGGGTTGGGGAAAGGGGCTCAAGAGGAAGCACCACGTTTGGCCAGTTCCCCTACGTCTGTCTAATATTCCTGTCCTGATCGATGCAGGTTGGGTATTTGCTGAGGAAAGTGTTCACAGCAACTGGACAGGAATGGCTGCACGAAGAGGAGCTGGCTGAGTACTTCTCCCAGAATCCTTCGCTATCTGGGGCGGTCACAGTCTGGCAGTTCCTGGAGATGATGGAATCGGGAAGGTTCACTAAACCAGCCAGCAAGGAATCTCTCACTCTGGGAATCCAGTCCGTTTACGAGGAGCTGGTGTTGGACGTAATGCAGCAGGTCAGTGGGACTTTCCGAAACCCTTCATAGTGTGTGTGCAGAGTGTCACTCAACATCTCATCACTGTCCCCATCCTTCACCTACAAGGGGCCTACAGTACATTTGGAGTTTCAGATGGCATTTGATAAGGTACCACACATTCTGCTAGTTATTAAATTAAGAGCCCACGGTGTTGGGGGTAGTATATCAGCGCAAATAGAGGATTGGCTAATTCATTGAATTTAGAGTTAAGATAAGGGGGGCATTTTCAGCATGGCAATCTGTAACCGATGGAGGGCCACAGGGATCAGTGCTGGGGACACAATTTACAATATATGTTAATAGCGTGACAAGGAATCTGCAGAGGGACATAGATTAAGTGAGTGTGTAAAAACTTTGCAGATGAAATATAATGTGGGGAAACGGGTATACGCTTCAGCAGGAAGAATAGAGGAACTGAATGTTATTTAAATGGAGAAGGACTGCAGAAAGCTACAGAACAGAGGGATTTTGGGAGTCCTGGTGCATGGATCTCAAAAAGCAAGCTTCCAATTTCAGTAGTAATAGGGAAGGCAAATGGGATGTTGGCCTTTATTTCAAAGGGAATGGAGTGAAAAAGTAGGAGGGTTTGCTAAAACTATGTAAGGCACTAGTCAAACCACAGCTGAAATACTGAGAACAATTTTAGACTCCTTTATCTAAGGAAAGATATGCTGGCATTGGAGGCAGTCCAGAGAAGGTTCACTAGGCTAATCCCAGGTATGGAGGGACTGTCTTATGAGGAGACATTGAGTAGGTTGGGCCTGTACTCCTACAAGAACGATTGAAACATACATTCTTAGGGGACTTGACAGGATAGACATGGAAAGGTTGTTTTCCCCTTATGGGAGAGTCTAGGACCAGAGGGCATAACCTCAGAATAAGACATTACCCATTTCAGACAGAGGAAAGGAGGAATTTCTTCTCTGAGGTGAGTGAATCTGTGAAATTCTTTAGTGCAGAGGGCTGTTGAGGCTGGGCTGTTAAGTATATTCAAAGCTGAGATAGATAGATTGTTAATCAGTCAGGGAATTGAGAGTTATGAGGAAATGGCAGGGAAGTGGAGTTGAGGGTTATCAGATCAGCCTTGATCTTATTGAATTGCAGAGTAAACTCAACGGGCTGAATAGCCTACTGCTCCTACATCTTATGGACATATGAAAAGGACACTTTTAGGTTTCACCCAAATCCAACAGCCCTCCTTGGTTTTGGAAGGGACCTGTGAAGACCATCAAGATCTCAGCCTTGTGTGAATACACCTGGTATGGACTGTGTACGATCCCAGGTCTGACCTTGACTCCTCGCTGAGTTAACCAATCTCAGCTGGACTACACAACCTGGCCTCGGGACCCCTGTGCAGAGAGGCGAGAAGCTGTGTTAAACAATACGGGGTAGACATGAAGCTGGGGTGTGAGGTATTGTTCATCTTCTCATCCGGTTATACACCTTGTTGTCTTCCTCTTCTGTTCTACTTCCTTTGTCTCCAGATCCTCCTCGCTGTTCCTCCAGCAATTTTTCCTTCAGCTCCCTGGTGTCTTGTTCTTACACCACTTTCTATGACTCTTCAGCCAGATTCTCCCATTCTTCATCCATCTCGTTTTCCTTTCTTTCTCCTGTTCCTTTTCTACCCACCTGTTTCTCTTCCCTTCTTCAGGAGGAATGCATTCTGAGAAATCAGCCCAGAAGATGAACTGTGTTCTTCTCTCTCCATGGAAGCTGCCTGTCCCGCTGTGTACTCCAAGTGTGTTCTGTTTTAGTTTTGATTTCCAACATCGGCACTATTTTGCTTTTCCAATTTGACAAGATGCCCAGTGTCAACTTCCTTAAGGTTTCCTCATTGGCACCTGGTACCCTCCACCATTGCACAGCCAGCTGGTGAATGTGAATGTCCTGAGAGATCCTCTCCAGGAACACCCAATCCTGATTTGGAGCTTTTCCAAATCCCTTCACTGTCCCTGGGTACAAATCCTGGAATTCCCTTCCTATCAACATGTGGGTGCGACAGTTCAAAAGGTGGCTAAACATTTTTATTTTTACTTTCTGTCAAATTTACCCACACTAACCCACCCAGCGACCCTTTGCTGCCTGTAAGTGATTGTAAAAGGCATCTCTCTCAGAAAATAATACCTTCTCCGATTGAATGTTCCAGGAAGAGCTGGAAGGTACTTTCTGCTTTCTATATAATCCTTTATCTATAAATAAATCCAGACAGTGATTTAGCCCATGCAGAGGTGTCTGCAGAAGGTGGTGACATGTTATCTGAACACTACTCCTTACATGCCACATAACAGTTTGTACAACATTGCCTCCAAAGATTGTAGTCTCACTGGGAACTAAGTGCTTGCTACTGGTTGGATTAGTAGCAGGTGCCAAGTAATGAGTACAACGGAACTGACAATGAACAGCAGAATGGGAGTGAGCTTGGGAGACAGCCCAGTTTGCCAGGAGTGTGCAGAATCTGCCCCTATTCCTGGCACGTCCTTTAAAATGACTAAGATTCCAAACAGATGGCAATGATAAAGCAGCCCGCTTGTAATCTGCTCGATTAGCTGGCCCTCAGCAACACTGGGAGGAAAATGACAATGGGACATTTGAGGGTAAAAATAGTTGTGTTTTGTTTAATTCCTTCATGAGATGTGGCCAGCAATCATTCCCAAGCCCACTCAACCTTGAGAAGGTGGTGGTGAGCTGCCTTCTTGAACTGCTGCAGTCCACCTGCTGTGGGTTGTCCCACAATGCCCTCAGGGAGGGAATTCCAGGATTTTGACCCAGCGACAGTGAAGGCACAGCGATATATTTCCAAGTCAGGATGGTGAGTGGCTTAGAGGGGACCTTGCAGGTAGCGATCTTCCCATATATCTGCTGCCCTTGTCCTTCAAGATGGAAGTGGTCTTGAGTTTGGAAGGTGCTGTCTGAGGACCTTTGGTGAGTTATGAGATTCTTGTAGATAGTACACACTGCTGCTACTGAGCCTCGGCGGTAGAGAGAGTGAATGCTTGTGGATGTAGTGCCAATCAAGCAGGCTGCTTTGTCCTGGATGGTGCCAAGCTTCTTGAGTGTTGTTAGGGCTGCACTCCTCATCCAGGCAAGTGGAGAGTATTCCATCACACTCCTGACTTGTGCCTTGTAGATGATGGGCTTTGGGGAGTCAGGATGTGAGTAACTGCCACAGTATTCTGACCTGTAATTGTAGCCACTGCATTTTTGTGGTGAGTCCAGTTCAGTTACTTCTCAGTGATAACCCTCAGGATGTTGATTGTGGGGTTTCTGCAATGATAATGCCTTTGAAAGTCAAAGGATACTGCTTAGATTTTCCATTTTTCGAGATGGTCATTATCTGGCTCTTGTTTGGAGTGAATATTACTTGCCACTTATCAGTATAGCCCTGGATGTGGTGGCGGTTTCTGCATGTAGACATGAGGAGGGATGAATGATGCTAAAAGTTGTTCAATTGTTGTCAAACATTCGCACTTTCATAACACAGCTGAAAATAGTTGGTTAGGATACCACACCCTGCAGAGAGACAGACAGAGAGAGAGGATCCACAGACAGTCACTAACACCTAAAAGAATGAAGGAGAGTTTGGAGCCTGTACGTCTAAAACAACACGAGAGAGAGCAGGGACAGCAGCTTCAGAGAGGGAGAGGAAACGGGAGAGGAAACAGCAGTGATGTGAAGTTGGGTAGAGCTGCGAAGTTGCATAGAGTACTTGTGGATTGGGAGGCAGGAAGTTAGAATTTGGCGTTTGTAAAATGCGAGGGGGGAAAGCGTTGTGTGGTCCCTTTAAGAGATCAGGTGCTTTTTCTGTGCTTAGAGATTTAAAATGGATGTCTGTGAGCAGCAGCTTGAAAGTTTGCAAGTACACGGAGAGCACCTGAATTGAAGCATTTGTATTGAAAGGCCGTACAGTTAGTAGGCTAAGCAGCAGTTTTTACCAAGACAACAGACTTTTAAATTCCAGCCAATCAATTTGAACTAAATATCATAAACCAATTAAATTTAAATCTGATGGTTTTGATAACATAGGATCGATCCTATTTTAAGAAATATTGATGTGTCATCAAGGATATAAAAGAAGGGGGCTGTTGGACGAAGCCCACAGAGCTAGCTACCATCTGCCAGAGCTAACAGCCCTCAGCTCCCGAGAGAATCGCTCGCTCTCACAGCCTCCTCTATGTTTTAGAGAAAGCACCATCTAAATAACAATGGTATCAACAGCACAACTAGTTAATATTCCTGACAGAAGAATTGATGGAGAAGGCACAGAACATTCTGGAAGACATAACCTGGCTGAAATTTTGAGAGACTAAATTCTATTTTTTTTTTAAAGTAAATAAGTGGGACTTGTATTTATTGGAACAGCATACCATTAGAATCTTGTTTTACTTGGAAATAGTTAGTACTTAGAAGGGATTTATTCAGTTTGCTAATAGTTTAGTTACTTTGATCACTGTTTAGAGTTAGATAAATAAATTGTTACATGTTGATTTTGAAATGAGTGTCAGGGATTTATTTTATTTAACTACTAAAGTTGCTGAAAAGCAGGATACACCACTTTTCACACTCCTTTTACAGATTGAGGTGTGGTGCTCCTCTTTGGTTATTTTGGTTTTAGTTCTTGGCTGGGGGGGGTGGGTCAGCTTCCGCTTTATAACAGATTGGGGGCTCATCGCCCAGGATTTGGCAAATTTGAACAGATTTAGGGTACGAAAGATCCCAGCAGATTTAAACAGACTTGGGGACTAGTCTCTTAGACCTTTAAATAAAGCTTATGTGACAAGTGGAAAATCTGTTTAATTTTGGTTGCTTGTTGCTGGTTAAATCAAAAGTAGGGAAAATGGCTCTTAATGTTGCTAAAGAGGTTCTGGAGGTCGAAGATGCTTCACAAATTTGCCAAGAAAGTTTAGAAAAACAGAAAAAGGTGACAATTCTAGAATTAGCAGACAGGCTAAAATTGGGTTTAACTGGGGATAATGAGAAAG